AATATTCATGCACATATATCAACTGTGCCTTTCAAGTTGTTACAATAAAAAATTAAACTGAATGAATTGTGATTGTGTCTGTCTCGGTTCCATTTGTGTCTGCGCACGTACAGCTAGTTCCGTCATCAAGGAGTAGAATGAGGGGAGCATAAGTCAGGTAAAAGAGGCAGGTGAAAGATTACAAGAAAGTCTAAAAAATGGGTTGAGAAGTCAAGGCAGAACGAGGCCTCCTCCCTGTTATTACCACCTGAAGAAAAGAGCTTTGCCATTAGACTGAAATTTAATTTACCAAATAGGGTTTTAATGCAGCTGTTCACCAGTAGCCCATTCCGAATACACTTTCTGTCAGTTCATTTCCTGAAGGCCATTTAATTGGGCTAATGAAGAAAGCTGCTAATGGCTGCGTTTATCTCTGGCAGCACTGGTGACATTTCATGAAGGCAGGTTGTTTTGCAGGCATTGTTTAAGTTCCCTGTGTAGAAATCCATAGATGGAAAGGAAAACAAACAAACATGGTATTTGGTCAAACTGGCACAAAGGTCTGGTGGAAATAATGTGTTTTTGACCAAATGGTTCATTCAACTTCACACAAGTGCAGAGTGAGTTATGTTCTAATTATTTTCCGCACACACCTCTGTCCCCAACAGATCTGGTTCATGACAGAGCCGTCAGCAATTTGTCCTATAATTCTGGAAATGCACTGAAATTAATACACACACACACACACACACACACACACAGTATGCATGATGAACAGAGGACTGTGACATTTACCTTCATCACTTATCAGCGTCTTGACATTAGAATATCAAACCTGCTGTTTCATGATGAACCTCAGATGCCATCTGACTGTCTAATGATTCTTGCGCTGTTGTCATTCTCTCTTGTCAAAAAAAGGTCAGCGGCAAAGTCAGGGAGGTTAAAGCCCATGTACATGGTTTGGCTACAAGATTAAAATGAAGAAAGCTGACATGCTGAAAAAACAAAAACCAAGGAAGGACATAACCTTTGACAATACTAGGGCGCTGTTTATGTGCTTACAGTCCACCTTTTGATTAATAACAGTTGCTAAACTTTTGATCTTGTCATCGAGTTAGATCTATCTATCTATCTATCCATCCATCCATCCATCCAGCCATCCATCCAGCCATCCATCCAGCCATCCATCCATCCATCCATTTATCCATCCATCCATCCATCTATCTATCGATCTATCTATCTATCTATCCATCCATCTATCATCCATGCATCCATCCATCCATCCATCTATCCATCCATCCATCCATCCAGCCATCCATCCAGCCATCCATCCAGCCATCCATCCATCCATCCAGCCATCCATCCAGCCATCCATCCATCCATCCATTTATCCATCCATCCATCCAACCATCCATCCATCCATCCAGCCAGCTATCTATCTATCTATCTACCTACCTACCTACCTATCTATCTATCTATCTACCTACCTACCTATCTATCTATCTATCTATCTAACCGTGGAACAAATACCACTGATGTGTTTTATATTAAATTTAATTTCTCAAATGTTTATATTATTAAGCTTTGGTTGTTCCAGATTCAATGTTTACACAATACTGAAGCTTGTTTCTAATTGACAAAAAAAAAATCTACATTAAGTACAGTATGGGGAGAGAAGGGAAAATATGCACAATTGCCGTCAATTCTTCAATAAATATTATGTTTGTCCCACGACTTCATACCAGTTTTTAATTTTGGCCCACTGTGAATTTGAGTTTGACACCCCTTGCGTCTGAACACATCAACATTTGCTGTAATAATACCTCGAATCAGGTCTTGTAGCTGACAACCTAGTAGCTCTGACATGTTAACAAACAGTTGCTATTAGTTTAGCAAAACACAACATAAAGTAACTGTGCTCCTCCTGACATCTTTGTGACCAGTCAGCCAGAGCAGATGGATGTCAAAGCACCGTGGTTCACCTGCGACTAATGGACACATTTTTTGGTGTTATGACTTAAACCATAATTTGAACTGATTATAAGATTTAATTATTTTTCTTGTTAGACTTTGATGCAGTGTATACTTCTCCGAATCTCGGTTATGCGGATGCAAAGATGTTTACAAATTACATTCTCTGTAACTATACTAATAATTATACATGTACTTAAAAAAAATATATAAAAAGTAATATAAAAAATATAAAAAAATATAAAAAAAAAAATATAAAAGCAGAAACTGTTGCTTTCATTGCATATTTGAAAAACAGAATTCCTTTTTCATAGGTATTATTGCAACTGATCAAGGCAGCTTTGTTTGACAATCGATGTCTTTAGCAACTACTCCTGTGCTGCCATGGAAAACAAGTGCTGTTTATAGCTCATATATTTTTCTTTTCTATAGTTTTAAGCTAAAGTCTAATTTTTTTTTTTTTTTTCAGTACAAAGGCGGGAAATCATTGTCACTCCAGGCATTAATACATCAACACCTGATAATACCTCATTAGGTCTGTTGGAAATAGAGAAGACATGTTGCTTCCTGTTCACCACTTGTTAATTTATAGCGTGTAATCATCTAACAAGTTCAATAGTTTACTTTTATAAAGTCATTAGGTGAGAGGCTTGTGGAGAGAAGAAGTGTCAAAACCTGCACTAACCGACAAATGTGGATTATTCACTGTTCCAGATCCTTTTCTATAATGCAGTCAGTTGGTTGTGGTTTTTCTTCCTTTTTTCTTCATGTTGTCAGCAGATACAGTATTTGGCCTTGTTGAAAGTACTTTATGATAAAACAGTAAGACAGCCTCTTTGGAAAAGACCCCTAAGAACTTGTACACTATGCTTGTAATTGGGGATGTCCGATAATATCGGCCTGACCCGATATTAGCAAAATATGTAATATGGGTAAGATTCGTTATTGCTTCTTCCTCCAATAATGAAAACCAGATAATGCAATACAGTAAACCCTTGTTTTTCGCGGGGGTTACGTTCCAAAAAGAACCCGTGATAGGCAAAATCCGTGAAGTAGAAATCTTTTTTTTACAATTAAATACTCAGAAAAAGAAGAGAAAGAACGAACAAACCATTTTACAGTCTCAACCATTTGTTTCACAAATAAAGTAAAATAAAAGTACTTTAGAAACGTTTCAACAAATAACTTCTGTAATGTACTGTCAAATAATAATTTTAATCATCAACGTGAACAGAAGGCTTCAAATTGCGGAGATTAGCACCGCCCACCGTGAACGGGAGAAAATTAAAAATGATTATGAAAAAAATACAAATTACCTGGTCTTGTTGCGGGCAGTTGCAACCCTTTTTGAATCCTTATTAAAACTTATTGCTGCTGTCTTCCTTATGTTTTTTTCTTCCTTCTTTATGGAACGAACGGAAGATTCATTAATTCCATAATGCCGACCTACAGCCGCATAGCTTTTACCTTCATTTAGCATGTCCAATAGTTTTACTTTATCACCGATAGACAGCATCTTCCGCTGCCTTTTGGTCCCTACCGCAGGTACTTTTGCCGGTCCAGAGCGTTTTGTCGACATTATGGGGTTTGATAAACTCGAAATTGCAAGAGAATTTGCACGTACGTAATGTCAATTTGGCAAGCTGTTTTACGTACGTGTACATATTAAACCGCAACGTTATTGGCGCACAGGTAGAGAAGAAGCGGAGTGACTTTTTAGCCAATCAGAATGCAGAACACAATGCACGATGCAAATCCGTGAAGTAGCGAAACCGTGAAAAGTAAACCGCGTTATAGCAAGGGATCACTGTACCTGGGTTTTGCCAAATATGCTGGAATCGCTGGTAGGGTCCTGAGATGTTTAGCTCAGTTTTGGGGGGCAAACCGCTGCATATATCAGTATTGGTTAATATCGGAATCGGAGAAAATATCGGCATATCGAATATCGGCAAAAAGTTAATATCAGACATCCCTACTTCCAATAGGGTGTACTGTAATGCATTTCAAGCTTCCGTTAGATCAGGGCTCTCACACTCAAATGAGGTAAAGCCCACTGCTGTCACCCTGACTACATCAGTCTTTGATTTTCAATAAAAATAGAAAATAAATAGTTTAGTATAAATACTGTATAATACTACAGTCTATACAGCAAACCCCTGGGTCTTTAGTTTGATGGTTTAAATACATCACTTCATCATTTTATTTAATATACTTAATGTCCTAAATATTGGACCATTAAAATGTTAGTTATGGCAGCAATATAATATCTTTATTTCTTTTTATTGACTGTTTCCTCCGTCTTTAAATCCTCGTGTCTGCTTTAAAAATGTCCTAACTGAAATTTTTTGAACCATTACAACTCCCCCACACCCTTATCCCCCCTGCAGTCTACCTCCACACACGTACACACACAGTTCTGTCGGGTCACATTCAACGGCACCGTTTCCGTTTTTGTAAACAACAATGAAGTGTAATATTTGAAAAAAACACAGCCGGTGAGGTCGAACCCACCAATCAGCTGCGGCCTGGGTCCACAGCGCTTTTCAAATCCCTCCTCCTTGTCCCTCCTCCTCGCGTCGATTGGCTACCGGAGCAGCAGCGACAATGTTTAATGCACCATGCGGTGTCCGGAGTTCAGACAGTGAGAGGAAGCGCTCCAATGTGCTCAGGGCTGCTGTACTGACGTGCGTGAAATACTAAAGAACGGCTGTGTCCGTGCGTGACTGTTGAAGGTAATCTGACAGATCCATACGCACTGGTGCCAAGATGCGGCGTCGTTGTTGAGCATCAGCTACTCAGTGTCTTTATGGACTTGTTCCGTGACGTAGGGACAGCGGACAAGACAAGGACAAAATGCCTTTTTTTTTTACTGGAAACTGTCATTCACACACGTTTGGCAATGATTTATTTTGATTAATTTTTTTTTCTTATTCATATTATTTATACTTGGATCTACCATCCTTCACTTCAAGTGTGGCTCCTACCCCTCTTTTCCCTCATTCTAAAGAAAAAAAAAACATTTTCCGACAGTGTTTGACCCAACCGTTTTTGTTGCTGCACCGCGGTGAGTCAACGCACGCAGAAGACAAGCCGCTGCATCCTAATCACACAGCAGAGAGGACTTCGGCTCATTGACATTACAGTCATACTTTTCTGGAGCACTTTTTCCCCCTCCTTATTTATTTTCGCTTCGCTGCACTGTAGCTTGTGTGCGTGTGTGTGCGCCCGGAGCTTGTGGATTTTTCTCCCTCCTGTTCAACAGCGAGAGTGGGAGAAGGAGAAGGACACGGGTGGAACCTACACAAGTGCTGGTGAAAAGAAACTCTCCTCCACCCCGACTGTAACTGGACTGCTTTAATTGCTGAAGACAAGTATTTTTTTTACGACCGTGGCTACGGCATTTTCCTCGGGTAAGTTTTATTCCCGAATCAGCCTTCATCAAATCGACTGTTGCTCGTTTTTTTTCTTAATCCACAAACCGTTCGTGCGGATGCAACAGATTCTTTCAATGTTGCAGAGACCGTTATGAACATTAAACAGCTGTGTGGAGGCTGACAGCGCGCTGTTGTTAATTTATTATAGTTTATTTAAATTGACAAACTCTGCAGATGTCATTGTTATTATACACCCGGCTGTGCATTTTTTGTCTTGTATTTATTTCGTTTGCATAGTTGGCGTACTGTTAAGATCAAAGTTGGCCGATTACAATTCCAGTCACATCCTTATGTGGCGTGAAAGGGTCATTAGCGGGTCGAGGGCAGGTCGTGAAACGTATAGTGGGTTTGAATCGAAAACGGATCGTTTGTGTTTGTATAAAAAACATCTGTAGAGTATAAGCTCCAAGGGCGGTCGTTCTTTCGCCGTGTGTCTTAGCTGCGCCCAGTGTCTTCCCAAGGTTAACTAATTGACAAGCATCCCCCACCTCTGCACATACATGTGGGGATGAATTACACATGAGCATTGTTTGATTTTCAGCTCAGTGCTGGATCTGATTTCAACCCAGTAGAATTCCTAATGTAGCTCGGTTTTTACTGAGGTGATTAATTTATTGGTTTATATATTTTAATAGACATTTCTCTTTTTTTCCCCCTGTTGCCTTTCTCAGGTAGTATGAGTGAACACTTACAAGGACCATTCTGTTTGGAGACTGGATCGCTATTACTGCTCAGATGAGTCTGGGCGCTCAGCTGAATATAAATTAGGTCCTCGACACCACAGATTGCTCTAGAGGCAGGGGGAAGAAAAGGAGACGGAGCGGAGACAATTTTCAAAGACAAATGCCACTGTCTTACATGATGAACAGAAGTATATTTCTGCTACTAAATAATACCAACACCAAATTTGAACAAACTATCAACAAGTCAAAGAAACACTAAAAGCATTAAATACCAGCCTCTTGCAGGTGGAGGCAATGTATCTTTCTATTTTCTTTTTCCTTCTTTTATGGGCTCAAGCCCTGACTTTGAAAAACTTGAATTACTCTGTCCCGGAGGAACAGGGTCCAGGGACAGTGATTGGGAACATAGCCAAAGATGCCAGACTCGGACTTGAGCAAACCGGTCAGGGAGGACAGGGTAAGAAAGCCAACTTTAGGGTGCTTGAGAACTCAGCCCCACATCTAATTGACGTGGACCCCCAGAGTGGTCTGCTCTACACCAAGCAGCGAATTGACAGGGAAACATTGTGCAAGAAAAGCCCCAAGTGCCAACTCTCCATGGAGGTGTTTGCCAATGACAAAGAAATCTGCATGATCAAAATAGATATTCAGGACATCAATGACAACTCCCCCACTTTCCCTTCTGATCAGATAGATATCGACATCTCTGAAAACGCTGTGCCAGGAACGCGCTTTCCCCTGACCAGCGCACATGACCCAGATGTAGGAGAAAATGGCCTGAAAACCTATCAAATAACAAGAGACGACTACAATCTATTTTCCTTGGAGGTTAAGTCTCGAGGGGATGGAACAAAATTCCCTGAACTAGTTATTCAACGACCGTTGGACCGAGAAGAACGAAGCCATCACACCTTAATTTTATCAGCCACTGATGGGGGGGAGTACCCTCGGTCAGGAACCATGCAGATAAATGTTAAAGTAATTGATTCCAATGATAACAGCCCAGTGTTTGATCAGCCGTCGTACGTTGTAGAAATACCTGAAAATTCCCCACCTGGTAAAGTTCTCATCGATTTGAACGCCACAGACCCTGATGAGGGTAACAATGGACAAGTAGTCTATTCTTTTAGTGGCTATGCCCCAGAGAGAATCCATGAGCTCTTCTCCATAGATTCCAGAACAGGGGTCATAAAGATTCAGGGCGAAATTGACTACGAAGAGAGCCCAGTTATTGAGATTGACATTCAGGCAAAGGATCTAGGTCCCAATTCAATCCCAGGTCATTGTAAAGTCACCGTTAAAGTGCTTGACAGGAATGATAACTGGCCATCTATAGGCTTTGTGTCTGTGAGACAGGGAGCCATCAGTGAGGCTGCACCTCCAGGCACTGTCATTGCTCTGGTGCGTGTCACAGACAAGGACTCAGGCAGAAATGGGCAGCTTCAATGCAGAGTGCTGGGTAATGTTCCCTTTAAACTTGAGGAGAACTATGATAACTTTTATACGGTGGTGACAGACAGGCCCTTGGATAGAGAGATTCAGGATGAGTACAATGTCACTATTGTCGCCAAAGATAATGGCATTCCTCCTCTAAACTCTACAAAATCCTTCACTGTAAAAATTCTTGATGAGAACGACAATGTTCCCCGCTTCACCAAGGCCGTTTACCTCCTTCAGACACCTGAGAACAATATCCCAGGAGAGTACCTAGGGTCAGTTCTGGCCCACGACCCAGACTTGGGCCAGAATGGCACAGTGTATTATAGCATAATCAACTCTAATGTGAGTGGAGGCGACGTGAACACCTATGTGAATGTCAATGCTGCAAATGGAGCTATTTACGCGGTGAGGTCGTTTAATTATGAGCAAATCAAATATTTCGACTTTAAAGTTCTCGCAAAAGATGCAGGATCTCCACACTTGGAGAGCAACGCTACGGTTCGCATCAGCGTTCTAGATGTCAACGATAACATCCCTGTCATTGTGCTGCCACTGCTCCAAAACGACACCGCTGAAATTCATGTGCCCCGTAATGTTGGTGTTGGCTACATTGTCACCACAGTGAGGGCCGTGGATAATGACTATGGTGAGAGTGGGAGGCTCACATATGAGATCTCGGATGGTAATGAGGACCACCTCTTTGAAATTGATCCAGTGACTGGGGAGGTGCGAACTGCCCACCCATTTTGGGACGATGTCAGCCCCATGGTGGAGCTGATTATCAGAGTGTCAGACCATGGCAAGCCAACACTCACAGCTGCTGCCAGGCTCATCATCAAGGCATCCAATGGACGTCCTCCCGACGGACTGCCACGCACGAAAGACAATCACAACTGGGACATGTCTCTTCCTCTTATTGTAACTCTAAGCATCGTGTCCATCATTCTACTGGCTGCCATGGTCACCATAGCCATCAAGTGCAAGCGGGAAAACAAGGAGATCCGTACCTATAACTGTCGCATTGCAGAGTACTCGCACCCTCAGCTGGGAAAAGGCAAGAAGAAGAAGATTAA